GCAGCAGCCTTAATTGCAAAGCAATGGAGTGCACTAAAACGTTTGCTCAAGCAGCCTCAATTGCAAAGCAATGGAGTGCACTACAATGTTCACTGTTCTCTAATAGATTAGGTGAAAAATGCAATATTTTCGCATTTAGCAAAATTAAAACACGTTTTTCGCTGTAAAGTGAACTGCTTTTTGCAGTTTCAACTCGTTCTTCTTTTCGCTGTATTCTTTGTTTACTTTGGTACACAAATGTCAACGCACAGGACGGCGCAATCTTGTATTCTATCATTCTTGGTAGGGTTTATATACTACTTGTAAAAAATCGGTAGTGGGTACCAAATAAGAAGTACTGGGTACCGAAATCTTTCTGAAGGTTGTATTCCGTGTATTGGGTACCGACATTTCAGGACAACACTATTTCCTGAGCAACCCTTCGATTGCGTCGATTTTATTATCGTTGGTGATATTTGTCTGTTTGCCAGCAGAAAATTTGTTCTAATATTTAAACAAAATTTATTGTGACTATCTTTGCAAAAATGAGTGATCCATTGCAAAAACCAACACGAACGAGTGTCGTCCAATCAGAGTTATCTGACCTCAAATTTGTGAAGCTGCATAGTCCAAAAATGAAGAGTGTTTATTGGCAGCATTTCGGCTTTCCCACCAATGAGTACGATCGGATTATCACAAAACAAAATGTTGTATGCACACTTTGCCACAAAGTTTTAACTAATCATGGAAATACCACAAATTTGCGCGCTCATTTGCAGCACCGCCACAAGGATATATTTCAGAAAATTTGCATCGAAAATGGGATAAGGGTGCCACCTCGACGCCCTATTCCGAAGAGCACCAATAGCGGAACTGGTCCTGGTCGATTGAGTACAAAGCGCGATCCCCTTCGTCATAAGGTTAAAGTGGAAGCTAGAGACTCGTATAACGACATCTCCAACCAAGGTATTTTGCCAGGAGAAGAACCATCAACTCTCTATGAGTCAATGGTTCCAATGACGTACGACGACGACGACGTAATAGATAATGATCACTTTGTGAAAGTGGAAGTATCTGGCAACGCAAATGCCGGAGCAAAATATAGGAATACACATGAGCATAGCACAATTGAAGTAATTACAATGGATTCGAAATATAACACAAACTCCAACTATCGCTCGGATATGGGAGAAATAGTAAATCAATACCAGTTGCAAGATGCTCTGGTAAATATGGTCATAAATGATGTCCGGAATGTGGATACACTTTATGATCAGGGTATGTCGACATTTATACGCACCCTTTGCGGCAATGTAGCATTTCCATCAGATAAAAAGGTAAATTCCTATAACTTTTATTTATATATATATATATGTATATATATTAGAGGCCAGCATCGGAAGATATTTGGCTTCACATTGAAGTTTTCTAACGAATACGCTTCCTTTTCTTCCGCTCACTGAGAGCGCGGATAGTGAAGAGAAGTATAGTCGCTAACACTGGCTACACGCGACGAACATGTGCACGCACATGTGCGCCAACATGCTCGCTGTCGTTTGCCACAGACGGTGAGCGGCTCATATGTAATGTGACCAACTATTTCATAGCTCAAAGAAGTACAGCTTAGGTTGGGTTAAGTTAGCGCCGCGAGCCGATTACGAAATTTCGAACGCGGCTAATTTCGATCCCTGAGAGCTCAGTGTTTGTTCATAAGTGCGAGCCAAAATGCTTCCATCTTAGCCTCGCGAAGGTTGGATAGTCTAAAAGAAAGCGTGGAGATGATTCCACTTCATCTTCATCTTGTCAGCCAATACAAAAGGATCAGTTGAAATTCTTAGTCTCACTGCATGAATACCAATCGCACAATGGCCTGTCAGAATCCTCATCATTAGCCCTTGAGAGGTAACGTATTTTTGAGTGCCCTATAAAAACATTTGCTGCAGCAGAGAAACGTCTTCTTTTTCTTTTTATGTCACAAAAGGGCCCGGTTTCCCTTTGCCGAATAGCAGTTCGTGCTGCGACAATTCTGTCTGCAATATCCGCCGGTGCCGCGTTCAACATATGTATGGCAAGCGCCAGTGTAGGTGTGGTTCCTAATGCTCCGCTAATTCCTGTTGCCAAGTGTAGCTATCTGTAGAGAGTTCCACCAGACAAGAGCTCCTTGAAACAATATAGGATTAAATCTGGTTTCCTAGAGCTAATGAATTAATCTGGGTGAGAGACATCACCTTTTACCGATAGCTCCCCTACAGGAGTACAAGGCAACCACGACAGTCTGGTCTACGTAACCGGAACGACCCAGATTTATATCTGGCCAAGGACTGTCACTCCAGCAACACTCCCCAAAAAGTCTTTGGGGAATTTGTATGCTGCTACAACAACAACAACCGACACATTTCCTACCGTTTCCTCAGGACTTCCACGATAGCCGCCGTTAATCACCCACCTAGTTACCTGGCTCAGGTAACCTTGAGCCAGATCAAAAAGGGTGTATAGAAATCGTCCCTTAACCAAAAGTTTCACATCATCTACATAGGCGATCACCCAATAGCACACTTTTTCCAATTCCTCTAGAAGGTCGTTTACAACCGCAATCCAGACCAGGGGGGGGGGGGAAACACCACCTTGTGGAGTGCTCCTTTTGACTCTGCGCTGAGTGCATGCGCTCCCCTACTTCGCCGGGACAGTTCTGCCACGTAGTAAACTATAGGCACGCCTTATCAGGTTGGTTTCCACCCGCAGATTATGAATATACTTGACTATTGCCTCTGGAGTGTCGTTGTTGAAGGCCGCCTCGATATCGAAGAAGGCCCTACTGCATAATCTTCATGCGCGAAGGCTTCCTCTGACCACTTTACCAATGTGTGCAGGGCGGTATTCACCGACCTTTTCTTGCAATAAGCATATTGAAAATTAGTCACGAGGAATCGCGTTTATTATGTACAGGTCAATCGGTCTCTCTTAGCGTTTTTAGTAAAAACGAAGAGACTGATAGGCCTAAATCCCTAAGGGAAACGTGAAAGCCTTTTCCGGTCTCCGGAATGAACGCAACACTGACTACCCTCCAAGCCTCGGGAATGTACCCGGTCCTCACACAACTCGCAAAAATAGGATCCAACCAATTTCATGGCGTTTAGAGCCCTTCGCAGCTACGCAAATATGATGCCATCGGTCCCCGGCGACTTTAATGCTTTAAACAAATTTATCGCCCAGACCAAGTGACGATCGTCGAGAAGATCGGAGAACTACAGGACCTGAAGTACAAAATATCGCAAAGAAGTACACTTGACTGTATTCGAAGTACAAAGTACAAGAGCGAAAAAAGAAGTATAGTACTTCCGAAAGAAGGACGGTTGGTCACACTACTCATATGTGATTTTGTCGTGATAGCGTTAAGAGGGATAGCAAAGACGCGGATGATGAATCTCAAATGCTTATGACTTAGGTTTTTTTATTTATGTATTACTTAAATTTATTTATATTTCACTTCTATGTATGCACATACATATCGTCGTTTAAAGTACGAAACCGCGTATCGTCATACTGCAAAACCGCGTAACTGACATTGGCTGCCAAAAATTGAATTTGCTCACAGAAGCTCTTGGCTTAATCCTTATCCATTCGTCCTGAAATATACCAGCCAGTAATGCGATTGTTTTATAAAAAAGAGAACAATTTTGAAATATGAGTGTTTTTACTCTCTAGAAAACAATTTATGCAACCTCCCATACGCGGTTTGGCATTATCTTGATACGCGGCTTTGCATTATCTTGATACGTGGTTTTGCATTTTGTTGATACGCGGTTTTGTACTTTAAACGACGATATACATATAGTAATTTAGTCTCATTTATCAAAAATTCAATAACGTACATGGCTTGGCTGCACTTATCCGCCGATGTGCACACTGCAAGCATCAATACAAAATGAGGTTGTTGTTTTTGTTTCCAATGCGATATTATCGATTTTTTTTTATTTTTTGCGAGCATGCCCTACAAACGACGAACATGTACCGCAAGCCGAGCATGTGCGCGCACATGTTCGTCGTGTGTAGCCACTGTAAGCTTCGAGTAACTAAGTAAAGTACTCGACAAAAGTATGTTCCGAAAAAGCGAGCAACATAAAAGAGGAGTACTTCGTTGTGAAACTTCCGCAAGTAAAACGTTCCTTCATGTGAAGTTTTCAAGTATTTTAGGAAGTTTTCGTTTGAGAGCATAATTTATATACATATAAGAAATATGATATGGCTCGTGCACATAAAACATATTTACGTTTATTTCTATACGTTTTTTATATATATATGTATTATTTAGGTATTTTTATATCATATCTATCCTCATACTACATCAAATTTAAATATTGTAACACAATTTTGAAGGTGGTCGGCTTTACCGCCTTCGGAAAAAATGCAAATTTTTACATAGGGTTGCTATCTGTCTGAAAATAAAGTGAATAAAATATTTAAGTGGCGTAAAATTTTGCAACGCTTTTATCGAACGAAAGGCATTTCAGTGCACTTTTATCAAGAGGTAATATTTTTAATAGGGCTGCCAATACAATATAGAGACTTTGGGACTTATCGACACAATAATCGATATTTTTATCGGGGTTGTTATCGATATTTTTATCGAATTTGTTATCGATTATTTATTGATTTTTTATCGATTTTGTTATCAATTTTGATATCAACTATTTATCGATATTTTTATCGCCTTTGTTATCGATATTTTTATCGATTTTCTAATCGATTTTGCTACCAATATCGATTTTGCTATCGAAATTTTTAACGAATTTGTCATCGATTATGTAATCGATATTTTTATAGGTTTTGTTATCGGTATCAATTGCATTGATTCACCGTGTACCTCTAAGAAAATTCTTACTTCAAAAAATAAAACCAAGGTCCTTAATTTGACATCTAACTTTTTATGCGGATTTTTTCGACCCGAACCAGTACGATGTCTTTCGTAAAGACAGGGATCCCATCAAACCCGGATGTAACCGAGGTGGGGGTGTGTTGATTGCGGCCCGTACTAATCTCCAAGCTTCGTTTCTACCTCATCAAAACGAAGACACTATCATCGATCAACTTTGTGTTCGTGTCAGAGGTTCCCTTGGATTGCTGTATATTTGCGCCTCTTATATACCTCCACTTAGCTGTACTAGCTTATACATGTCGCATGTTGACAATGTGCTAGCTCTTCATCGTAATATTGGGGACAACCAACTTTGTGTGCTTGGTGATTTCAACTTAAGCAATGTAAGCTGGTCGTATTTCGATAATAATTTATTCTTGACTCCCTCAAATGAACAAAGTTCTGTTGAGTCATATGTTATTGATAACTTTTTACTCAAATAAACGGCCTCGGCAACAATATGAAACGCCTTCTAGACTTAGTCTTTGTAACGTACAACATAAACTTTGAAATTTCGAAACCTTCTTCTTCGATATCCCCACCCAATTCATTTCATTTACCATTGGTTTTAGACATCGAATTTTTTGAATTTTTCGAAGATTCCCTAGTACACAAAACTGTTTCATTTAATTATAATCGCTGTGACTTTGACGTGTGTCAAGTTAGCACTACACTTTTCGAATTTGGAAAAGTTAACTACGGCATTAATTGTAGTGTTTTTGTTGTAAAT